AAAAAAAAAAAAAAAGCACCATTCTGTGAATAAAATTTTGTTTAACAGATATTTACAGAAGACCTCCCTGAAGTGGAAGCTTTGCCACGAGACAAAGTGCTCAGTTTCTTGATAGAAAATTTTAAAAGCTTGACTATTCCTTATCTGGTAAGAACTCAATCTGTACTAGTGCATTACGTTCAATACAACATGTTACATGTAAGGCTTTAGTTCTCCAGGCTTTGGAGCCTGATGCTGTCTCAGAGAATGCTAGTTTTGCCATAAGTTGTGCAAAGAAAAAATAATTAAAATATATGAAATCCTGAAGTCAAGCTTGGTAAAGGCAAGCGTGGAACTGTTGCTTGTTTATAACAAATTACGTCCCAGAGGAGGTTTCTATAACTGAACCTGAACATGTATTTACAGGAACACATCATTCATGTCTGGGAAGAAACTGGTGCAGACTTTCACAACTGTCTGATCCAGCTATACTGTGAGAAAGTGCAGGGCTTAATGAAAGAATATCTCAATTCTTTCCCTGCAGGTATGTTTATTTTTTTCTGGTGGGAAGACCAGGGGCATGGGACAGCACAGGGGAGCCTTCATAGTGTATTGCTGTAAGACTTCCCTCTTCATATCCAGAAGATATCCCAAGTGATGAAGGAACTGGAACAATAAAAGTTGTGGGTTTGTAGGGAAGTCTAGTTTATTGCCTCCCTAGAGATCGTAAGGGACCAAGTGACATTTTGTTCATGATTAAGTGTAATGGCAGCTACTGCTCTCTGAATTCTACACATTAAGGGTAGGGAAGGGTCTTGAATAACTGAGTCTATTGTTCAGCCACCCACTTGATGTGTTTTAGGGAGCTGAAGTAATTTGGCAGGTGCACCAGAATCCCAGCCCATATAACAGTTTCATCAGCATTTGGTTCCTCCTCATAATGATTTGTTTATCTTCTTCTGTGTACTAGTGTAGTGAAATAGTTGTCTTACTGTAGCTTATGTTGTTTTCTTCCATATAGATAAAACTCCAGTGCCTGCTGGGGAGGAAGGAGGAGACTTGGGGGATTACCGGAAAAAGCTTCTACTTTTTTTGGAGAAGTCTAGCTGGTATGAACCTAGTCGACTAATTAGTGACTTCCCCTTTGATGGTGAGTTCAGTTTCCATAGGTTAACTAAACCCTAGCTTATGGCATTGTACAGCAAAACCTCCTCACTTATTGTAGAATCATGGTAACTAGAGACAAACAATGGCTGTATCTGTAACTGTAGGCCACTGGTGTGTATACTAACTCTGCTTTTGCTGGTACAGTTGGGTTTACCAGTCTCTGCAGGATTCCTGTCACTGTTGGCCTAAGACCTTGTGGCATCTCCCATCACTTAAATATTTAGCCTAACTTTTCCATGAGCCTGAATTGGTCAACAGATCTGAAGTTTTTTATATCTTAAGGTTACTTAAGAATTCATAAAATGTTACTGAGACTAGTGTAAAGTAGACTTACAGTCTCAGTGTAACTTTAACCTGTGTTCAGACTATAATTCCTTCTGTTAGTCTGGTCACTAATGGAGCTTATGCTGTCATTTCTCTGTGTAGCTATTGAGTAATCCTTCATGCTATCACTAGGTCTCCTAGAAGAACGTGCTCTGCTCTTGGGTCGTATGGGGAAGCATGAGCAAGCTCTGTTTATTTATGTTCATATTTTGAAGGACACCAATATGGCTGAAAAGTAAGAATTTTTTCTTTTTTTTTTTTTCTTTTACTCACTGCCCTGTGGATAGGATGTGTGGTGAAATGTTGCTGTATGTGGACCGTGAATGCTATAAGCTTTCAAGATATTCTGGGTTTCCATGTTTTCTTGACTTTTAGGCTCTTCCAGGTATCTGTTCATTACAGATGGTGATGCCAAACCCTTGAGGCTTACCTTTTCATGCTCTTCTGTCATTGCTCTTTAGAGCAATATGAGTCATCAATGAGTTCTTTGTTTCCACCTGTCCTTAGTTTGTGAACTTCTGTATGTTGTTTTGCTTCCTTTCTCTTTTGAGACACTCACTAGCCCAGATGCAAAGTTAAGCTCCTTCAGTTAGCAAAGTCCTCTCTAGTAAAGCTATGGCATTTTGCTAGACGTATCATGTCAGGGAACCTTCTGAGTGAATCTAAACTACTTAGGTGAAAATAGAATTAACTGATACTGGCAGGTATATCTGAACATTGAGGCTTGTTCAACATAGGTTCTTTTAAAGCTAGTTTCAGTAAATGCCTGTTAGAGGACATTCAACCCTGGTATGCAGTGTACACTAATAAACACCTTCTCTTTGTGATTCAGATACAGTAATTAGATAGGTCTGCACATACATTTTTATGCTATGATGTGTTGATTGGAGCCATCTTTTTTTCCTTTTTTTACACAGCTGAATTAAATTTAGTTTCTGCATGAAAGCTTTTTAAGTTGATTGGAAGTGGGAGACTTGCACAAAACCTCCCTTTTTCTCAGCATTGTAATGCAGAGTAAATGGTGTAATTTTGTTGTGCAACTTGATTAATTGATCGGAATTGGATGTACGGTCACCTAATTTGGATGGATTCAGTAATCAAAGCTTTTAAATGTTAATTTCTCATTCTCTGGATTCCAAAACTGTCCCTGCATTTCACTTCATTCTTCTCTATTCTAGCTACTGCCATAAACATTATGACAGAAACAAAGATGGCAACAAAGATGTAAGTAGCTTCATCTTTGCAGTCTTTCTTTTCAGCAGATGTATTAGACTATTCATACCATGTTAGGGAGTTTAAAGTTTTTGCTCTGTATAGACTTTTTCAGAGTTTGTGTAGGTGGACAGGAACCTAGGTATAAGCTCTTGCAATTTAGGAATTACTAGATGATTGATTTTTTTTTTTTTAATTTGCTTTTTGTTGAGAATGTTACTGTATCACTGGAGTTGAGCATATGTTCTGTAGCTAAAGTTGTAATGGAATTCAGAAGACAAAATACTGTGTGCATATTCCACGTACCTCTACAGAAAAGTTAATGTTAAAAAACAGTGAAATGTTGGTTTCTAAAGATTATGAATGAGTTATATAAGATGAGGGAGCCATGATTAAAACTACTTTTATAGAAAATCTTTAGTATAGAATGCAAGTCTTTAAAGGCCTTGAACATCATTGATACCTTTCAGTTTTTGTTGTTTTAAGATAAGAGCTGTTTAAATGAGCACTTCAGAATTTTGAATGGCATGGGTACAACTTACTAGTACCATTGCTGGGTTCTACCAGCACCGTCAATTGTGGATGCATGCAGTGGTTTCAGAATTTTCCTTTTGTGTGCAACAGGTCTATCTGTCACTGCTCCGGATGTATCTGTCCCCACCTAGTGTTCATTGCCTGGGACCAATCAAGATGGAAGTGCTGGAGCCTCAAGCCAACCTGCAGGCTGCTCTGCAGGTTTTGGAACTACATCACAGCAAACTGGATACTACCAAGGTAAGAAAGACTTCCAAGTACTTAGTTTGTACTGTTGGCAGAAGGTACTGGAGTAGGCAAGTGAGCAGACTGTAACAGTGTCAAGCTAAATGTGTCAATTTCTATTCTATTTTGTTCTTTATTCCTTTTTAACTTTTCCTAACTAAGTATATTTTGCTCCAGGCAATAAACCTACTCCCAGCAAATACACAGATTAGTGAGATTCGGATCTTCTTAGAGAAAGTCCTTGAAGAAAATGCCCAGAAGAAAAGATTTAATCAAGTACTCAAGAATCTTCTCCATGCTGAGTTTCTGAGGGTAAGTACCCATCACCGGTCATTTATGGGAATGGTGTTTTAAAATGGATGTTCACTATTTAAATTAACTGTTCCTTATATGGAATGTGTGTTCTCTAGATGGTGCTGTAGTGCACCTGAAATTAGTAGGTGTGCATCAAGTAGATTGAATGTCCCTTTATTGGGAGATGGCAAGTACATTCATTTTAGTTTGGATGACGTGTGTGCTTTTGGTGTGAGTCTCTGGACTCACTGTGGTCAGGTGTGCATTGCAGGATGATCTCAAAGAGCATGGACTGGATTTCTTTCAAATAAACTAAACCAGATGATGCACTTCAGTAGTTCACCTGAACATCCCTTAGTGGTTAGAATGCCTCAGTCTGTGGACCAGACCAGTTGAAAGTAAAATCCTGCAAGTCGTATAGTGTGGGTGTTGGGCATTCAATACCACCTGCTCTGCTCTACAGACCTGCTTCTTTTGTGCTGTACAACTTGCTAATGTGGATATAGCCACTGAAAACTAAACATTGTGACAGGTTTCCGTTTTACCAGACCAGAAGGGAACTGTGGTGTGGCATTGCTTTTTGAGCAAGTTTGTTTTGTTGTTTTTTTTTTTAATTCTTCTGTAGGTCCAGGAGGAGCGGATCTTGCATCAGCAAGTGAAATGCATTATTACAGAGGAGAAGGTGTGCACTGTATGTAAAAAGAAGATAGGTAACAGGTGAGAGAGCATGTGTCTTAAAGCTTGGGAAACTGAAGCAAATATGAATCTTGTACACTTACAACTAAGAACGTTGCAAAACTTGGAATATGTCACAGAACAGCAGTATGAGGGTGACATTTGAAGAGTGTTTGAATTGGAAATTACATCACTCAAGTGGGTGGCTGGGAAAACATCAAAGCTTTAGTCAGTGAATTTTATTGCAAGAGTTTTTAAACCTGCTTTCAACAAAGGAGAATTAAAAATCCCTTCAGAAACTCATAAGACTTCTTACTTCACAACTCTAGAAGGCAGAAAATAACTTACACTGAATTTGGAAAATTTTCTAAGAGCACTGCATACTACCTGCTTCGTAACTAGAATTAAGAAGGATGATAGAAAGAATCTGAAACTAAGATACATGTGTAATAGTTTTCTATATCTGATGGCTTTGTGGTTCCCTGGCTGGTTTACATTTTGTAGCCTAATTATCTTAGGATGTCTGAAAGCAGAGCTAATTCACTTGATACCTGGATGCCAATAACTTCTCTTCTACTATTCCTAGTAGGTAATTATGGGTTAGTATAGAACGCAAATTTTATTTGCACTTTTTCCTCTCTGAACTCCAGTGAAATGCCACGTGACTAGCTTGTTCATTGTTTCTTTTGTTGATGTGAACCCTTCTGAGATATTGGGAGCATTCGCAATGATAGGGAAAAGTTCTTTTTCCAAAATATTTTAATGAACGTAGGTCTAAATATACTTACTGCTGTGCATATTCAGTTCTTTGCTGTTAATGTGTTAAATTTGCATATGCAGTGTTGTTTTAGTTGTCTAGGATTTTTCCAATGCTGTTAAGTTCAACAAGGTTTTGAAGGTCAGTCATGTCAGTACATCACCCAGTCTTTAATTTGTTACCAGTGACTTCCAAGTAGTGTGCCTATAGAAATGAAAATAGAAAATATTTTTTTAAATGATACTCTTACAAAATCCATAGACTTCTTTTGTCTGGTTTTCTCAAGAATATATTCAGGCTGTAATTTAAACAGCAAAGTGTAATTTTCATGTAAGCATCTTTTTCTGATTCTGACACAACTTGGATGTTCTTGTTTCAATAGGGAAAACTGTTTGTATTGATAGTTGATTTTTGTGTTCTCTCTTTACAGTGCATTTGCTCGATACCCTAATGCAATAGTTGTGCATTATTTCTGCTCCAAAGAAGTCAACACATTGGACACCTGACCTTGTCATGGTCAATAATCCCAACATTCATATGAAATTCAGAACTGACGACTTAAGAAGTTGATGGCTCTGAGATTTTTGAGGCGTGTTGCTAGGTTCTCTTATACTGGGTAGAAGTCAATTGTAACTGTGGACTGACTGTACCTCTCTGGCAATATTGATTTACTAGAAAATGACTTTAACCATATTATTATAGTGCTGGCAACTACACTGAACCTCTCAGTACTCAGATGAAGAATAGACACTGATTTTTGTAGTGAGTTTTGTATTGCACTCCAACCTTGCAAATGAGTTGTTAGACAACTGTTTGGCATTTACCACAAGTCAAGTTTTACTATAAAACTTACCTCCATAGAGTGACAACATTGTGATTTGGCCTTGTATGTAAATAGTTCTTTCAAAAAAGATAACTCCTTTAAAGTCTTTGCAGCTATATCAGTGTTGCATGGAGATCACCACGTGTTTGGCGTAGAGGAGGCTTCTGTGCCTATTTCTAGACCTAGAAAATATAATTTTACTTTCATCTCGGTAATGGGAATGTTTAAACGCTGGCCAAAGGAATCCTTTTCTTGATATTCAGTGTTATTACCTGACCTTCTGATAAGCAGAAGTTCCACAGGAGGTAGTCAATCAAACAGTAGATACCACTAGTAAGCATTTTTTTTTCTTTTTACTTTAGTTTGAGAGCTGTAAATTGAATTAATTTGTGTGTTGTTTGCACTGAATATGTTCACTCTCAGCATGAATGGAAGCTCAGAGACTATGGTAAGAAGTTCACATCTGCACTCATACCAAAAAACAAAGAACACTCTGTAAAGCAGCTTCTGAAGGGAAGTGAACTATAGTTATTGCTTGAGCTTCTAGTCTACACTTGAGATTTCTGTATATAAAGTTCTTTGGTCTCTGGTTCACTTCCCAGCATCAAAGTAAAATCCGGACTATTTCAACGTCTCTCTATTTTAAATGGTCTAGAACTGTGTTCTGCTCAGGCTGGTACTGTTCTTAAGTTACTCTTGGGCCAGAAGTCTTAACTACAAAAACTAGATTGTACCATACTCCTTGTAGGCTGTAATATTTTTGTCTAACTTATTTTTCCACAAACTTTAATCTATAGCAGATTGGTATGAGGGATATTAAAAGGTTTGATCGGTGCAGAAAGAATCTGTGCAGTGGTAATGAAAAGGCAGCAGTAGCAAATAACCCAGTAGTAGGAAATCTGGCTCCCAACATCCTGGTCTAGTAGTACTTACAAATGTATTAAACAGTATGGCATATAACTACCAGATATCGCCTCTTAACGAACAAGTAGACGAATAAAGCCTGTCTGCCTAAGGTGTAATTGGATCTCACTTAACATTATAGCTTTACTTAAGCCATTATGTGAGTGTTTTTTAGGAACACATCTGCTGTAGGCTGATGAGTCCTAATTCACTTTCATTTGCCAGTGTTCATAGTTTCCCTTGATAACTGTTTGTTTTTCCCTTTCTGCACGTGTTTGTATTTCTTGTTTGTATGCCATGCATTCTTAGGGATTTCTTGGTCCAGTGTTTTGCTACTTCTGTACTTGGATGTTTTGGCTGATACTGCTACTGATGTCTTTCTGCAGAGGCTGGGTAGAGGGAATCTGTGGTGTTAAAGTTTTTAACTTTGTATTTCTTCTATTTGAAGAAGAGACCCTAAAAATACTTATTGGATTTGCACATTCTGTATAGATCTTTATATACTAGTTCAGGTACAGAGGGAAGATGGTTTGGGAGAGTTGCGTTTACAGGTCATTGAGAATGAAAGAAGGGTATTTAAAAAGGCCCTATATTCTTTGTATACAGATATAACAATATTGCTCTGATTTTTACCTAGCTTATGTTTAATACTGTTAGTCTGACTTTTATTTACCTTCATTATCTGCTACCAGGAGAGCTGTATTTACATATGAGGATCTTCATTGTGCTCTTACTTTCACGGCTAAGGTTGTGCCTCCGTTCACCTCCATTGCATACCGTTTACGAAGACGTGGTTTGTGATGTAATTTTTTTTGTTGGTTCTTATAACGTGGTTTGGGTTTACTAACCATACAGCAGGTTTATCTAAAGCAATAGATTGTAATAAATATCGTGAACCAGTGTGTGTTTCAGTCATTGTGCAGTTAAGCTTCTCTGGGCTGCTGTAAATGTTTTTACATATTACTTCTCACTTTCTCCTGGAAGTCAGACCCAGTGCAGGGGCTCCCAGTATCACTCCTGCTTTAATATGCACAACTCAAATGAGGCTATGTCATGTGAGAGCTGTCATCACTTCTCAACTTTAGTTTTTAGATCTACAGGTTTATAGTATGCTTGTGAATGTTCTCAATACCCTCCTAAAACCACTTTTGTATTCTCTCTTTGAAGAATGTTTTTGAAAGTCTTATACCATTAAATATGTACTTAATAGAGAACACTAAAATTACTGACAATTTTTTTTGAGTGGTGATACGCTGTTTCCAGGTGGGGAGGGATGTTGAGCTCTGTGTGACCAAATCAGGAAATGTTTATGTTCACAGGTTTGCAGTTGCTTGAGTTGTAGGTCATAGACTAGTCTAGTGTTGGAAGTAGAATATGGATCCTCAGTTTTCCCATGCTATAGAAATGGAAGATGCCAGCACTGAAGGAGAGTCTTGTGTCCATGTCAGACAACTGGGTATATTGGTATTTCTGGAGAAAACCAACGCACCAAAAAAAACCCCAAACCAAAACCTTGATAGCATCCTTTGGAATCTTCATCTCTTCTCGTTATCCAGCTGCAAGTCACTGCATCTCAGCTCTTCTGTCAGTGCTGCTAATGGGAGCAAAAGGGGTCCCTTGCAATGCCTGTGCACATTTTAAGTACTACATAGTATAGTTGGTGATGGTGTCATTTGTTCATGCTTGCTTACATAAAAATAACTGGATGAAATGTAGATAACACATCTACCTTTATCAGTATGAGGATGCTAATCCAAGCAGAAGTAAAGTTATCATGTGTGAGGTCATCTTTGTTGCCTCATGTTTTGATGCCGTTTTGCTTGCTCATTTTCTTAATCTGCTAGGAAATGACAAAAGCAAGTTACTTCTCTTTGGATATTGAGTTGGCTGTCAACAGTGTCTGTAGATAGCTAAAACTGCACACAAACACTTTGCTAATGGATGATCTGTTGACTATGAAACAATGCTTAAGCAGATGTTCTAAAGAGCTTTCACTTTTTCTTGAGAGAAAAATTCAAGAGAAACTCTATAAACATGAGATCCTTGTGCTGAGAGTTCATTGGAAGAGGACAGAACTTCAGGAGAAGACAGGTAAGCCTGATTTTAAGTGCAATTGAGCACTCACAAGATAAAATACAGGTTTTATATACTGCCTGTAATAAACTGTTGAGAATAATTATGATTTCTCCATGTTACCTTATTGTGTGAGGCCGCCTCAATTTTCATGTAATTTATGGTCATAAGCTATATTAGATTAAATAGATCACACTTATGGTTCTGTAATTTTTCTAAGATAAATAAAACCTAATATGACACTCCTTCACTTTGAGTGCAGTGGTATGTAGAAATGCAAAGAAAGTGCTTTTTCAGCCCAGTGTCTATCCGTACCATACCACTTAGTACCACATGAGAGCTTTACAGCAGTTGCTGGCTGTTCTTCAATGGTATTGCATTTGCTTTTTGCCTGTGCCTTGACTGTAAGCCTGTGAATTCACTAACTAGTACTGACTTGTGTTGTAAATGTCAGCGTCTGTGCTTTTACTAGTTTTCTTAAATTCTGATCTAGTGACTGACACTAATGACAGGAAATGATTAATGAATGGGACCTTGCTGAGAATGTGTCACATTCTCATGTTTGCATGGAGCCGGTGACATGCTGCATTACTGGCTTTCGTACATGCTCTGCCACTTTCTAATTGTTGAAACACTTAAGTTTGTTTTTTGGTCTGCTGCATCAGTTTAAGCTCTTTAATAAAAAGCTTCAGACAAGGCAACTGTCAGCAGCTGTTAACAAACTAATCACTTCCAGTAAACAATTTCCTTTACTACTAAAATATTTTTTCAAAGCACAGTAGATTCAAAAAAATCTGCTGTATCTGTTGTACAATTTTTCAAGAACCTTTGGTGGAAGAATCAAGACTATGCTACATGGAAATGAGAATAAAGGGGGGCCTTGTGCAGGCCGCTCACGTAGCAGGAGGTTAGATGTGGTGGTAAATTAATGTTCTCCGAGACATCCTAGTGCAGATCAAATTGTGGTGTCTCTGCTCAGACGTCCCTGAAACTTCTCTGAACAGCTACAGTAAGTCACAAATTCGGTGTTGCTTCAGGCTTGTAAGGTGGGAATACCTTTCTATTTAAAAATATTCTTTTAGGGTATACTGAAACTCTGAAAGGGTTTGAAACAGCCAAAGTCCTAGACCAGGTTGCTGGAACTCTGAAAGAAAATCCGTACTGGGCATTTTGAGGTTGTGGCTTAATCACGGCACGGTGCTTCCTCCTACCCAGGGCTTCCCTGTTTGGTGCTGCTTTGCTGCCCTTATCTTTTACCAGGATTCGAATAACCTGCCAGCAAGGTTTTGAACTGGATTGTTTGGCAAGTGCAGGCCACACCTCTGCTTCTCGCAGCTGGAGCGCAGCCCAGTCCTGCGCAAAACTTCAGAGCGAGCCTGTAGCAAGCAGCCCTTCGCAGCCAGCCCTCTGGGGACTCTCTTTATTTGCTGCATTTCCCTGTCAGGTTTTCCACAGAGACGACAGGACTTTTTTCCCATGTTCCGTGAGGTGCTGCGGGGCCCACTTCCACCCAGAGCACTGCCTTTTCTGGCAGCTGTGCTTTTCCAAAGGAAGGAGAGGAAAGAGACTGGGTTTTATCACTGGCGGGTAAGAAAAATCGTAGCGCTGTCTTTGAGGCGGCATTCTTTAGCCGATGTGTTTGGCAGCGACTTCCTGTTACTGCACGTGTGGAAAACCAGTCCCGCACTTCTGCAGGAATTAATCAAAAAGTTCATCATTAGGGGAAAATCTTGGATAACAATGCTAATGTAGATTCCAGGCTTTTACTGAATTTGGGGTCTGTGTGAGGCAACGCAGAGCAGGTCTCTGTTTCTTTAGGTTTTGGGGAACAGAATTAAACTGATGCCAAGTACTTTTGGGGGGGAAACTCCAGCGTACTGGGCTTCTCATCAGTAGAGACAAAATGGTGCTTATATGTTTTCTTGCAAAATATCCTTGATTACCATTCCCTTCCTTTCTGCGCTCTGCCTTATCCCACAGGGTTTAA